TCAGCAGTTACTGCAAACCCTACTCCAAGATTAGCCCTAAGGAATTTCTCCAAATGACTCAACCTGCCTCGCAGAGGTTCAGTAAGGTTTTATAGGTTACATTATCAGATACTGCTCCTTAATGCTTCATAAGAAGACCACATTCAACAATACCATTAGTCCTAACTATACCCAGAAATAAACCCAAATAAACCTTGAACCCTCATAAATACATTCTAATTTGTTTTTGTGATCAGCTGTTTCCTTCACCCCCGTTTACTGGAAGGTAATCTTTCCAGACTTTTTCTAATCTTATCTTTTTTCTAATCCTTTTTCCCGTCCTGCCCTCCCTTCTGTAGGCAATTTCCTTAATATTAACCCCCTTCTTTCTAATTAAATTGTTAGGCCTCCTGACTGGATTTGATTAGACTCCTGTTTTGAAAGTTATCTGAAACAGCTTGATGCTTCCATGCTTCTGTTTATGATGAATCGGTATGCTCCACTTGGTATATCTGGTTTCAACTATTTATACTGGATAAAACCAAGAAACACAGCAGGGTTTCTAGATCTTGCTCCAAATCCCTGTTCCACAAGACAAAGATAAAAACGCTTTGGCAGGCAGTGTTATTTAAATGACATCCAATACTTTTTTTAGATCTTTTAAAAATTCCTATTCTCTATCTCGGTTCTTTCAAAACTACCCATAACACTTGAACCTGATCTCAAAAAAAAAAAAAAAAACTCCAATTATTTCAGAGATATTTGTCAGTCTTTGTTTCTACTTTCCAGTGGCATTTCAGCACAGAACTGGTGAGTTACCTCATTCCCACTGACTACAACAAACTCTGAGAGAGTGCCTTGCTTCCAGGGAGGAACTGCAGCCCAGACCTGAAACACACACAGCTTCGTTACAAACAGATCTTTTTAAGCCAAAGCTAAGCATGAGAGTGTTCCCCAATACATACGCCACCCTGTGATAAAAAGCACAAGTCAGCAATCCAGCAAATAATAGAGTTATTTTCACATGATATCAATGTATTATTTAGTATGATTCTAGATTTACCAAGTCAAACCACTTTGGAGGTAGATAACCAGTAAATCCTGCTGTATTTACTGGCTACTTAGAGTACCGGTAAGAACACTGTCTCTGGGGCCTGAATCCTGGCTCTACCACTTATTAGCTGTGGGACCTCTTTATAGCTTGACTTTCCTCACCTGTAAACTGGGCCTAGCTGTACTTACTTCATAGGGATTAAATGAGTTATTTTATGAAAAACAACTAGAACAGTGCTAGCTATTATTATAAGGTGACTTTAATTTCTTGGTATAAAAGTTCAAAGTGACAAGGGACAGGTGATTATATCAACCTTTAGCTATTTTAAAACCATCTAACCCATAAGGTAGAAACTGTCATTTAAAGACTTAAAAAGTCCCAATCATATATATCTTAAAGTCTTGCAATTCTTAAGCACTGGATTTAGAAAAGTTCGAGCACAGCAAGCTATTGTGACAGAACTAGAAACAACAGAAAGAAGAACTGAACCAAGAAAATGAGGGCCCCAGCCAAAGCTCACTGTATTTGTTGAAAAGAAGATCAATGATATGGAATATATTTCCAAAAGCAGCAGAATTAAATCGGCAAATTTTGAGAAGGAATAGTGGAATGTGATAACTCACCTCATCGCCAGGCTTGAAGTACCTCACATCAAGTCCACACTCCATCACCACACCAGACACATCCCGGCCCAGAGTCAGGGGAAATTCTTCTCCTTTGATTTTAATATGTAAAGGATCACGTTTCATATTTAAAGCTGTAGCTCCATAGCCACCTATGAAATACAATTTACTTGTTTCTTCCAAAAGAATGGGATGATTTCAAAACTACTGCAGGGTTACAGGCCAGGTACAATTCTAGATCTTCAAGATGCAGATTATAAAGTAATCAACCTTATAAACTTTTTACCATCACACAAGAAAGCATAAAAACAATGAATGTTGTTCCTTTCAAAGAAAATTATTTGGAAAGTCATAGTCACTGTTTTTAATTTTTATTTTATACTGGAGTATAGCTGATTCACAATCACTGTTTTTGAAATTCCAATTTTGAAACTGTCTTCAGAACTTTCATTATTTCCTTTTATAGGTTTTACTTTGTTCTTTGAAGATGGTTTCTTTGTTAATTTATTCGTTCACGGATTTTTTTAAACAACCAAGTCCTCTGAAGCCAAGTCTGGTGAAGAAGATAGTGTTAAAGTTGTCTGGTTAATAAACAAATAAGGCATGGATACAGTATTGGACACTGACACTGGTCTATGAGTAATTGTCCCTGCCTCACAAAACATGTTTCTAGAACATCTCTGGGTTAAGTGCAAGGTTCCCAAATGGAAAAGAACCACTTGGCTGCATCAGTTCTGATATGTTAAATCAGGTTGACTGCTTTATTATACATCATTTTATTTTTAAGAACGTTTACATAAACATCAGCTAAACAGAGCTGAAAACATTCCTCTGATCAGCATTTTTTTGGTTCAAATAAATTGGCTGTAATATCTATAATAATCCAAAGTAGTTTATTACACAGCTTCAACATCTCAAATGGCTTTTCTAAGACATAAAAGTACTGTTGTCATCTCTTCTGCTCGACATCCTTCTAAGAACATTTCTGCTATGTAAGGCTCTCCAAGATAAGCACCCTGCTTACCTTTCTAGTGTCATGTACCACAATTTATGCTCCAGAATCACTAAACCACTCAGTAAGTCTCCCCTTTTCTCCCACTCATCCTCATTAAATCCTAAGGATGGGGAGAAACCAGCAAAGGAGCCCGAGAAGCCTTGGCCAGTGAAAAGGTGCTCAGAAAGCCAAGAGAAGAGGGTCGTTTAAAGAAGTCAAATGCTGCTGATGGGGAAGATAGTTTTTCAAATAAGGTCAAAAGCTGCCAATAGGCTTTTAAAAAACAAAACCCCCCAAACAAAACAAAATACTGGATCCAACAACACAGCAGTCTTTTGTGACCTTCATAGGAGCGGCTGCTGTGGCACGGGGTGACAGAGAGAATGGGAGTGAGGAATTGGAGACCATGAGAACATTCAACTCTTTCAAATAGTTTTGCTTACAGAGGAGAGCAGAGAAATGGGGCGGTGGCTGGAGGGGGACGAGTGCGATAGAGGAAGGATGTTTAAGGTTTTTTTTTTTTCCTCTTTAAGAATGCAGAAATTAACAGCAAGTTTGTATGCCAATGGGAATGATCCAGTGAAAAGGAAAAGACTGAAGATGCAGGAGAGAACTGCTGAAACAATGCACCTGTGTGGGTGAGAGGGCATGGGGCCTAGAACCCAGGTGGAGAGCTGGGCTTAGATGAGAGCAATGACAGTTAATCCACGCAGCAGGAGGTAGAGGATACAGGGAGAGACGCTGACAGGAGGGTAGCTTGCAGAAGTTGTTTTTAATAAAAATCAAGACACATGGAAGAAAGTGTTTGAAAGTTGGAAAAGTCCCAGAAAATCTAAGCTGATGGCCACCATGCCAATATTACATACTTGCCAGCTGGCTGGTTACGAGTGCATTCTATCAGGGGAAAGAAAAACTTCACATGTAATATTCACAAAAGTCACATTTTACGTTCCTGTCTTACATTCCTTTTCCACTCTCAAACACAATTAAACAATTATTCACTGAAATTCCTATGTGGTTTGATCAACAGAAGCAGGCATTTAGCCATGTCAAATTTTAGCTGCTGTTTCAGAGCTGCAAAAAAAAAAAAAAAAAAAAAATTCAGTCCTCTCTAAGCTACACAGCCTGCAGGGCAAGGTTGTTTTCTTGGTCACCTCGATATCACCTGAGTAACTCTGGCTCACTGGTACCAGCTAACTTAGCCCCAAATCCAGAAACAGCTGGTAGTTAGGAACTGAGAACCTGCTTGGTGACACAATGAAATGGGAACCCTTAGGAGCTCTGTCCCATTCTTAGAGGTGACCAGTTTGGTTCAGAGTTGGAGTGGTTTGGAAAATCCTAAATCTGCCCTCCGTCTCAAAAGCTTTAATTCCATCTAAAGAAGCCAAACTTTGTTGGTATGATGCTGTTGGCTGTATTTTTTTCTATTTTAAGATTATTCATTAGCCATTTATATGATTTATGATTTTATGTCCAACAATAGTGGACATCTCCAGAAAAACAGCTGGCTTTCATCTTTCAAAACAGACACGTCCTTGCTTTCTCGTCAAGGGAAATAACTGCTCCCTACACTTTACGATCTTATATTCATTATTTTATTTCCCCATATTTCAGGTATCTTCCGCAACGATAATCATACATTCTCCAAAAAGAATTCACGAGCAGGAAATAAAGAGGATAACTTGCAAATAATATTACTCAGTCAAGTCATAAAAAACTAAGATGTCTCAAGAATACTATATAAAAGTATATATAAAATGTGTTATAATATTACATTAAATAGCAGCCAAGCAAGTCCAGACCCAGCCATTCTACTGAAGTTAAAATGTACACAATACAAATTGTGCACATGCATTCAAAGAAATGAAAAGTTAACAGACCTAAATGAAGACGAAAACCACTTATTTTAGTTTGTAACCTTAAATTAGAATGAAAATATAAAATGACATTAAAAATAATGACTGGGCTTCCCTGGTGGCGCAGTGATTGAGAGTCCGCCTGCCAGTGCAGGGGACACAGGTTCGTGCCCCGGTCTGGGAGGATTCCACATGCCGCGGAGCGGCTGGGCCCGTGAGCCATGGCTGCTGAGCCTGCGCGCCCGGAGCCTGTGCTCCGCAATGGGAGAGGCCACAACAGTGAGAGGCCCGCGTACCAAAAAAAAAAAAAAAAAAAATACTGAATGACAACTACACATGTGAAGCATAGAAACAGGCTACAGTTGACAGGGCATGGGATCTACCTTCAAAGAGCTTATAATCAAGGAAATGAAAAAAACATAATGGTCACTGGGTATAAATCTACCACTTAAAGATAATTCTGATAAAAACTAAATTATCTTCATGCACAATGTAAATGGAATAAACTGAAACAATATGCCCGACTAGTAATGGCAATTATTACTTTAAAGCGAACAAAAAGAATACAAATGTGTATTTCATGAGGCAATCATCATAAAATCATTTCAATTAATTCTTAACAGACCTCTCCAGCTACATTTTGAGTCCGTCTTTCCCCAAACTCCCTCCCCACAAAGAAATACGTAACAGTTATTCCTCACATGTCTAGATCAGCACTGTCCAAGAGATATAATGCAAGCCACATATCTAACTTAAAATTTTCTAGTAGCCACTATAAAAAGAAAGAAGTGAAATTAATGTTAATATTTTACTTAATATATCCAAAATATTATCAGGTTAATATGTAATGAACATAAAATTATTAATAAGATATTTTACATTCATTTTTTTCTTACTAAGCCTTTGAAATCTAGTGTATATTTTACACTAACTGTACATCCCACACTAGCCACATTTCAATTGCTCATTTTTTTGTCATTATTTTCCAAAGTTAAAGTAATTCACAAATGGTAATCAATCTTTCCAGCACTATAATAATTGCATAAGGAATACAGTACTCTCCAAGCTTTGTCAATATCCACCAGCAGAAATTAAGATAACACTATTCCCATTGAGGATGGCGCAAAACAGAAAAGTGTATTTTAACTTTGCAGAATGCAACAGCAAAAATGAGGAAAGTACTGTGTCCATATCCTGGCATCCTGTTCTGCTGCTTTGTCCACTGGACCATTAAACAAAGCTGTGATTAGTGGGAGGGAAATAAAAATTACTATGGAAATGCAAATTCTGAACTGATATGAAAACATAAGCATACCTCTAAAACCTGTGATGGACCTCAGAATATCACAAAGTTCCCAGGAGAGTGTACCACAAAGTTAGCTGTGGATACAATTCTCAAGTCCCAATTTACATTTTTAGGTAGTATTGGAAGCAATTCAAACTTATATTTTGTGAAAGATTAAAGCATACCGTGGACATTGCAATTTCAAAAATTTTGGAAATATCTACTGAGATACTGTCAAAACCCTAAACAATTCCTTTGTGTTAACCAAAAAAGTGTAGTCAATAACTGACCTTTTAAAACTAATCCCTGATGAGATTGTCTGAAGAAAAAAAAAAGTAATTGAGGAATGTCTTTTGAAACTTACTTCTCATATTAACATCTATAGGATTTACACTCGCAGCGTGAACTTTGATAATGACTTCATTTGGATAGTGTATCATTGGTATCATCATGTTCTGAGTAAATCGAAGCACTTCATTACTCCCATATTTATCTATCACCCAAGCGGGCATGACAGTGCTCCTTGGAGAGGTAGTACTAATCTTTCTAACTGAAGGCTTTTGTACAACTTGTCTTCTCCAGAAGCAAACCGCAGTGCATGCATTTCTTCTAAGTACACAGGTCTTCAGAAATCCCATCGTAAACAGTGGTTGAATTGCGTGCCCTAATTAAAAGGCACTTATACTGGCTCAAACCCTCACACCTGAATTCGGTCAAATTCTGCCAAACGCTCTGGCCGGTTTCAAAGCTGGGAATCCAAAAATGAAGTTAGACTGATGGAGCAACTGAAGAAAGAAGAGTACGGAACTACTCTACTCTTCACATCTGAAATGCTCCAATTAACGTTCCAGTCAGTATTCTGTCCATTCTCCTCCTCCCTTACACCCGCTCCCCTTAAAAACAAAAACAAAACCGCTAGAATCCTGCCCTGTCCCGGGAGCCCTCTGCGGGACAAGCCGACTCCGCTCGCGATCCGGATGTCAGAGAAATTCACACAATTCCAGGTTCCCGCCGCGACCCCGGAGTCTCCTTGCCACCAGCTCTACTTCCCCGCAGGACTTCCTTAGCGGCACCAGCCAATCGCGTGCAAAGATCATTTTCCTCGGGCTGCAATTCGACCAATCTGAGTACTCGGTGCTGACAGGTTCGCTGGCAAATGGCTGCGCCCATGTAATACGGGCAGTGGCAGTTGACCTTTCTTTTTCCTCCTTGACACCAAGCCCCTCTGGTGGCGGGTGGGACGCGAGGACCATGTTGGGCCGGACCCTCCGAGAAGTGAGTGGAATTGTCTGCTGAGGGCCCGGGGAGGTCGGGAAGATTCGCGGAGTCCTTGTTCATGTGGACGTGGCGTCCCCCGGCCGGCGCGTATCTTGGTCAGCCTCGCCTACTCCTTCCCTGGAACTTGGTGGGGGATTCGGATCTCCGGGTCCTTGGGCTGTGCTCCTCATATCCATTCAGGAGTTAGGATCTCCGCGGGGTAGGCTTCTGCACCGCCGCGCTGTGGGGTGGAAGGGAACAGTGGCTTCTCTCGATTATTCGTTCGCCTTGGCTGCGTGGGGCCCTGGCCGGTCTCAGCCAGATAAAGGGGATTTGGCTGGTCCGCGTCAGTCTCTCTTGTCCGCTACACACATCTGATGCAGTCCTCACTAAGAAGCCCGCAAATCTGCCCCTTGCAAAAGCCAAACTAGTGATTCTTAGCTTTTTTCCACCCTGGATATATTCATTCTTCAAGCTTCAACTATCACCAAGATACCAATGATTCTCTTACCCGTGTCTCCATTAACTGGACATCGTTTTTGAACTCTAGGCTATACTTGTGAATGTCTAATGGACAGCTCTTCGAAAACTCCCACAAGAGTTTGATGAATCTAACCAAAGCTGACTTCATCCTTGTAACAGAATGACCTCTTGCGTCTCAATCTCCATCATAAAAAACAAACAAAAACCTAATTACGGAATTCTTAATATTCTGTTTTTAGCGGCACAACTGTTATCCCAGGTGCCCTTAGATTCTTCTTCATAGGTTATATCCAGTAAGTCACTAAACCGTGTTAGTTCCCTTTTGAACTTATGTCTGGGATCTGTTCTCTCACTTTATCCCTGTTAGGGCTTTAGTTCAGATCTCCTTGCTTTCTGATCTGTCAACCTGCAGAGCTGTCTGCAGGCCCACTGCTATCAGAATCACCTCGGCCCGCCTTAAAACTACAGCTGTGTCCCACTCAGGAAGGCTAGTATGGTAAGGCCCAGAGTGTATGGTTTAACCTGGGTTCCAGGTGATTCTGCTGATAAGTAGCAATTGAGGACCTACCCCATCTTCCATCTTCCATTTGTATCTTCACCTGGGAAGTCTTTTTTTTCTTTTTCTAGCTGGCAGCCTTTTAGAAAGCTGTAAATTATGAGAACTTTAAATCCATAGATTTTAAATAATAGTTATTCCCCTAAATACATTTTTGTTTTACTATCCTAAATTGTATCTTGCCTATACTGTCAGCGAAGAATCCAATTTGTTTTTAAAAATTAAAAAAATTTTAACTCCAAACTTGTTTTAAAATGAAATATAACCTAAAAAATACGGTATTTTCTTTTTCTGCCCTTTCCCTCAGCACTACCTTTTTTGTGCCACCCCTTCCTAATGTCCAGTGAGCCATTGTCAGAAACAACTTTTACCTCAAGGGGGAAAAGGGAAGCTGACCCAAGGGTAGTCAGGAAATTGCCTTGGCATGATTACTTTCACTTAATCACTCTTTTAACAAATATCTATTGATGCCTATTGTGTGGAAAACATTATTTGCTTATTTTGCCAGCCCATAATATATCTTCTGTCCACTCTGTTCTTTCCATATCACTGTACCAATGCCCCAAATTCTACCAATTAGAGATTAATTTAGTACACATTCTATTTTAAATATGTAAAGATGCCTGGGAAGGTTGAATGATTTATTTATCCATTGTGAATTATAATAGTTCAATCAGATTTCTCTCCATCACACCCCTGCTGAGATAATCAGTTAAGGAAAGGGAAAATTTTGCGGGGGAGGGGATTGAGGGAGGGGCTGGAAACTGGCATTTTGAGACAATTTGGGGGCCTAAGTGGAGGCTTAGGGCAGTAGAGGAGCCCTAGGAGGAAGCACTAAAAGGCGGTAAAATGCCAAATAGGAGGTAAAACTGCTACTTGTAAATTTTACCCAGGTACACTCAGTAAGGGGGAAGAGTCTTACTTTCACCTGCCTTTCTTGTGGCATGATCCCAGTGTTTCTAGGAACCAGATGCCAGGCTAATATTATTAACCCTAAAGTTATATTAAATGATTACTGTTATATTAAAGAAAGTTAATTATATATCCAGTAGGCTTCTTGGGGGTCTAGCCTAAGAACATTTAATTACTGTTCTATGGGAAAATAGACTCCAAATTTTAAACAACTCAGTTATTCATGCATTCAATTAACATTTATTGAGCACCTCTGTGTTCCAGACACTGGGGATTAGCATTGAAGACAGAAGTTCCTGCCCTCATCAAGCCTACATTTTTGTGGGGAAGCAGGCATTAAATAAGTTTCTTTAAGTAAATAATAGAATTTCAGGTAGTGTAGGTGCCACGAAAAAAGTTTAAGCAGGCTATAGTGTGCGAATTAGTTGGAGAGATGGATGTTTTAGATAGAGCGGTCAAAGAAGGTTTCGCTGACTGAGTGGGTGATATTTAGTAGAGACCTGAAGGATGAGAAGGGTGAGCCCTGGGAAGATCTGGGAGAAGGGTGTTCCAGGCAGAGGAAAGAATAAAAGTGCAATGTCTCTGAAGCAAGAGCAAACTTGATGTGGTCAAGGAATAGCAGGAAGGCCAGCAGACCCAAGAGAACTGAACGAGAAGAGTAGTGGGAGATGAGGTTATCGATAAGCAGGAGCCGGATTACCTTTCCGCCATGTTAAGGAGTGTGGATTTTATTCTAAATGTAATGCAGGGCTTCCCTGGGGGCGCAGTGGTTGAGGGTCCGCCTGCCAATGCAGGGGACACGGGTTCGTGGTCCGGTCCGGGAAGATCCCACGTGCCGTGGAGCGGCTGGGCCCGTGAGCCATGGCCGCTGAGCCTGCGCGTCCGGAGCTTGTGCTCCGCAACAGGAGAGGCCACAACAGTGAGAGGCCCGCGTACCGCAAAAATAAATAAATAAATAAATGTAATGCAAATCCTCTGGGAAGCTGTGAGTCTTTGGACATGATCTGACTTAAAAATTAAAAAGCTCCTTCAGGTTATTCAGGATTATGGTCTGTAGGAAAGCAAGTAGGGAAGCAGGAAGACCAGTTAGAAGGTCGTTGCATTGTCAAGAGCTGATGGCAGCATGGATAGGGTGATGGGAGGAGAAGTAATGCAAAGTGGGTGTTAGTTTTTTGTTGTTGTTTGGGGGTTTTTAAATTTTATTTATTTATTTTTGGCTGTGCTGGGTCTTTGTTGCTGCGCGCGGGTTTTCTCTAGTTGCAGCGAGCAGGGGCTACTCTTCGTTGTGGTGCACGGGCTTCTCATTGCGGTGGCTTCTCTTGTTGCAGAGAACAGGCTCTAGGCACGTGGGCTTCAGTAGTTGTGGCACGTGGGCTCAGTAGTTGTGGCTCACAGGCTTAGTTGCTCCACGGCATGTGGGATCTTCCTGGACCAGGGCTCGAACCTGTGTCATCTGCATTGGCAGGCGGATTCTTAATCACTGCACCACCAGGGAAACCCGGGTGTTAGTTTTCTAAGGTATGGCTTTCTGATGGATTGGATATGGGATTTGAGGGAAAAGAGATGAATCAAGGAGGATGCTTAGGTTTGGGGCCTGGGCAATTGGAGAAATGGTAACATTTATCAAGATGGGAAAGACTCTACAGGGAGCATGTTGTGAGGAGAAAGTATCAAGACATGTTAATTTTGAGATGCTTCTAAAGATATCCAAGTGAAGATGTCAGTTAAGCAGGTAGATATAGGAATGTGGAGATCAAGAAAGAAGCTAGGTATGAGAATATAAATTGTCTAGAGTAGAGGACATAATGGAAGTTATATGGTCAGATGAGATCTGAGTGTAAATATAGAACAAGGCCTATAACTTTCCAACATTTAGGGGTCAGCAATAGGAAGCAGAGCCAGCAAAAGAGACTTGAAGGAGTGGCCAGGCAAGGGGAAAACCAGGATGGCTTGGTGTCCCAAAGTACAAGTGAAAAAGAAGTGCTTCAAGGAGGGAGTGATGTCTTGTGTTGAATGCTGAGTGCTGCTGGACTGGGCCATGACTGCTGGATTTAGGAATGTGGAGGTTACTGGTGGTCTTGATGTGCTATTTCTTGGAACAATGGAGACAAAAAGCATGAATGTTAAATGAGTGTGTTAAAGAGAGTAGCAGTCAACCAGACCCTCAGCTTTCAAGGGCTCTTCTATACCTTAAGCATTTATCAAGACAGTTTTTCTTCTGAAAGACAGTTCTTTTCCTAAGTGAAGCTTTGATGCTATCTGTAAAGTTAACAAAATGTTCTCTATTTGCTAGAGGAGTAAATGCTGTAACAGCCTGCATAGAGAAGTAGAGTGTAGTGGCCCAGAGCATGGGCTTTGGAAACAAGATAAGGCCCTTGGTTGAATCCCAGCTCTGCTACTTTCTAGCTATGTGATTTTAAGCAGGAACTTCAGTAATTTATCTGTAAAATGGAAATAATATCATCATCTTAGTGTGGATATGAAGATTAAATGAAATATAAAACATCTAGGATAATGCCTAGAACCAAGTGCCATTATTAACACTAATTTTGTTACAGTGACAAAATTACTAGATTGTATGTATTTACAGTTTTCTTTTCCCCTGTTTTCTAAGAAGAATGGTTCCTGAGGGAGATTTCTTAATTTTTCTAAGAAGGTATATTACTTTTCTACTGCTGTGTAACAAATTAGTATAAACTTTTCAGCTTAAAATAACACATTCTTAAAACACACACACAGTCTTATCATCTCACAGTTTTGTGGGTCAGGAATCCAGGAATGGAGTAGCTGGGTTCTCTACTCAGTCTCACAAGGCTGAAATCAAGGTGTCAGCCAGAGCCGCAGTCTCTTTGGATGCCTTGGGATCCTCTTTCCACCTCACTGGTTGGCAGAATCCATTTCTTTGTGGTTGTAGGACTGAGGTCCCCATATTCTTTCTTTCTTTCTTTTTTAAATATTTTTTTATTTATTTTTGGCTGTGTTGGGTCTTCGTTGCCGCACATGGGCTTTTCCCTAGTTGCGGTGAGCAGGGGCTACTCTGATGCAGCACGAGGGCTTCTCATCGTGGTGGCTTCTCTTGTTGCAGAGCATGGGCTCTAGGCACACGGGCTTCAGTAGTTGTGGCACATGGGCTCAGTAGTTGTGGCACATGGGCTCAGTAGTTGTGGCTCGCAGGCTCTAGAGCACAGGCTCAGTAGTTGTGGCTTGCAGGCTCTAGAGTGTGGGCTCAGTAGTTGTGGCGCACGGGCTTAGTTGCTCCATGGCATGTGGGATCTTCCTGGATCAGGGATCAAACCCATGTCCCCTGCATTGGCAGGTAGATTCTTACCCACTGCGCCACCAGGGAAGTCCCTGTTCCCCGTTTTCTTGCTGACCATGTGGGTGGTAGAGTAAATGAGCTCAGGGGACAAGAGATGTGGGATAATTAGAACTGAGGTTTGGGAGATGATACAGAGGTTGGTAATGATATAGTCTGGGCTAATGACCATGTGAGCTGGTAACTGGGGTGAGGTGAAGGAAGAGTTTGTGTGAAGTGAGGTCAGGAACTGAGAGGCTATGTGTCCATGTACCTGACTTGAAGTTTGAAGTCAACAAAAAGAGCAGCAGGAGCCACAGAAAAGAAGATTACAGCAAACCAGCTGCTAAAAACTTGAATGAAAAGGAGTATCAGGGAGACTGTAGATTAACACACCAGGGAGAGTAATATAATCTTCAAGGCCTGTGCTTCAGATGAGCTGGGGGTTTTGAGAAAAGAGGGAAGAGAAAACTTTTCTAGTTGATTTCATCTTATATTCATCTTATATTCAGATATGATACCTTTAGTTTTGCTGTACTATTTATATGTCATAATCCTTACATCTAATCCATTCTAGCTAATTAGCATCTTTGTTTTCATTTCCCTTCTCCAATACCCTCATTGAGTTTCTCAAATCTAAATTTCCTAAGAACGATCCTAACAAAGATTACCATTTAAAATGAGTACTCCCAAGGACTTCCCTGGTGGTCCATGGTAAAGAATCCGCCTTCCAATGCAGGGGATGCAGGTTCCATCCCTGGTCGGGGAACTAAGGTCCCACATGCCATGGGGCAACTAAGCCCACACGCCACAACTACTGAGCTTGCGTGCCCCAACGAGAGAGTCTGCATGCCACAAACTACAGAGCCCATGTGCTCTGGACCCCGTGCATGTCACAACTAGAGAGAAGCCCGTGCACCACAACTAGAGAGAAACATGTGCACCACAACGAAGAGCCCACACTGCAATGAAAGATCCTGCAGGCCTCAACAAAGACCCAGCGTGCTGCAACTAAGACCCAAGGCAGCCAAAAAAAATAAATTAAATAAATAAAATTTTAAAAAAATAAAAAAAAAATAAAATGAGTACTCCCAGAACGGTATGGCACGGCCTTAAAAAACTGAAAATAGAGCTACCATATGATCTGCAGTCCCACTCCTGGGCATGTATCTGGAGAAAACCATAATTCGAAAAAATACACACCCCCCAATGTTCATTGCAGCACTATTTACAATAGCCAAGACATGGAAGCAACCTAAATGTCCATCAACAGATGAAAGGATAAAGAAGATGTGGTACATATATACAATGGAATATTACACAACCATAAAAAATGAAATAATGCCATTTGCAGCAACATGGATGGACCTAAATATTATCATACTAAGTGAAGTAAGCCAGACAGAGAAAGACAAATATATGATATTGCTTATATGTAGAAACTTTAAAAAAAAGAAAATTATACAAATGAACTTATATACAAAACAGAAATAGACCCACAGACAAAGAAAACAAATTTATGGTCACCAAAGGGGAAGGGCATGGGGGAGATGGATAAATTAGGAGCTAGAGATTAACATATACACACTACTACATATAAAATAGGTAACTATATACTTTATAGCACAGGGAACTATACTCAATACTACGTCATAACCTATAAGGGAAAAGAATCTGGAAAAAATCGATATATTTGTATGTATCACTGAATCACTGTGCTGTGCACCTGAAACCAACACAACATCATAAATCAACTGTACTTCAATAAATAAACAAAAAGAATGCTCCCAGACAGTCTCATTTCTTGCCCTTGTAACCATAACTGCAGTTCCTTACCTCTTATTCTCATATCACTTGGCAAGTCAGAAGGCAACTTGAGGATAATGGGCATTAGGGGACTTGAAGGGAGGCGAAGAAGAGAAAATGGCAGGCATAATTTGCCTCATTTTTATAATTTTGCTCTGGGGTAGGCCTGTCTATATACCTCTCTGTGTCTCCAGCTTTCCGTTTTTGCTAGTTCTGACGCTTGCACTCAGCCTATTTACATAAGCCCACTCCATGTTTACAACATTACAATACACTGCTGTCGTTTCTTTTTCTCCAGTTTCTCTCTTCTAAAGAGTTTACATCTCATACAAACCGTTCAACAGAAATATCTCTTCTTGTTGCTAGGTTACCTCCTTTAAGTTGAGCCCAGCTGCCCCTCCCCATCCTAAACCCCTCCCCCAGCATCCCCATGGCAGCCCTTTCCTCCTCTTGTGCATCAGCGTTAGGGGTCCTCTCAATGGCCTATTTGCACTGCTTTTCTGGCTTAAAACCCTCAGGCCTAAGAATACCACCACTTTGATGATTTATTCAACAGCCTAGAGCAGATCATTTGCAGATTTTCCCCTAAATGCAAATTCCTATTGCTTGATGTATATAGGACACGTGAAAATACAGTCAGCATACAGGACAAGCTAAGCTTCCACTGGTGCAGAGAGAAATGGTGAAGGAGCAGTTAGTTACCTGTTAACTTTTACTATTACTACCTGTTAAGTTACCCTTTACTGTTTCCGTGACTTTGGACACATCACTTAACCTCTCTTAGCTTCAGTTTATCTATAAAATGAGGTTAATAATACCTAACTTAAGTGGTTGGTTTTTTTTTGCTTTTTTAATAAATTTATTTATTTTATTATTATTATTTTTTTTGGCTGCATTGAGTCTTGCTGTGCGCGGTCTTTCTCTAGTTGCAGCGAGCGGGGGCTACTGTTCGTTGCAGTGCGCGGGCTTCTCATTGCGGTGGCTTCTGTTGCTCTAGGTGCACGGGCTTCACTAGTTGTGGCTCACGTGCTCAGTAGTTGTGGCGCACGGGCTTAGTTGCTCCATGGCATGTGGGATCTTCCTGGACCAGGGCTCGAACGCGTGTCCCCTGCATTGGCAGGTGGATTCTTAACCACTGTGCCACCAGGGAAGCCCTAAGTGGTTGTTTTAAGGGCTAAATAAATAATGAATCTAAAGCAACAACAGTGCCTGGCTCTTGGTAAATACTCAGAAAATGTTACTTTTCCCCCCATCCCCCTTGTCTGAGCTACCGTCTTATCCAACTCTTTTCACATGGTCTCTAAAGACTTGGTATCATCTTTGATTTCTTGTTATTCATTCCTTTTACTCAATTAGTAAGTATTTATTATTACTTCATACAGGAAGTATTACAAGTCGTCACTTCACCTTAGGCTTTACTAATACACAGGTTCTGGTCACTTGAAGTGCAGTTTATTTTAACACGTCCTTTACTAGCCTTCCTAATGCATCAAAGACAGGGTTTTAGAAAAGCTTGTTTTTAGTTGGCTTTTGAACCCATATTTTACAAGCATTTCTCTCAATTTGTAGTGGCTCTTGCTTGAATTCTCCAATAGATAAAAAGGTCTGTTTAATAAAGATCACTTATTTGGGGCCATAAAGTCCTGTAATGCCTTGTCTAGTTCATTCTGTTTTTTGCACTGTGGATGGCCTGTGTTGCAGCTAAGCTTCTCTCTGTACACTATCTACCCTAACCCATGATTCACCCACACTGGGCCTCTACTTCTCCTAGACAGGGTGGCTTACCTAAACCAGTGATCTTGTTTGTTCAAGCCTGATGTAGAGTTCCTCAGCTAGGGCTATGGCTGTGGTGTCCTCCAACCCATCTTTCAGCTAGCTGACCGATAGGTTACCCTTATTCACCACCCTAAGTAAGTGTAGACTTGATAGGTTCTCTTGGTTTTGAATCCAAGCCTCACTTCAAATTTTTATACTTAACCACTCTATCTGCACACCTCAGTGTAACATTTGAAACTTCTGCAGACTTGGCAAAGGGTTTCTGAATTGTGTATACTCTAGGTTTCTGCGGCACTGAAACAAGGCCAAGTTACTCCAACTGAGCTCTGTCAAAGATGTCTCTCCCTTATCAAGAAGACCAAGTTTCTAAATGCTTACATTACTGTATCAGAAGAGGTGGCCTTAAAGCAAGCTGAAGAATCAGAGAAAAGATATAAGAAAGGTGAATTACTTTGAATTATACTTAATTGTGACATCCCAAGAGAGAAAGAGTTTAATTGGATGTAGCAGTCTCCATTTGGCAAGTGGAGCTTTAAACATAAAAAGTTCCCTTATTTTAAGAACTGGGGAATTCCCTGGCGATCCAGTGGTTAGGACTCCGAGCTTCCACTGCTGGGGGCCCAGGTTCAGTTCCTGGTCGGGGAGCTAAGATCCCGCAAGCCAGCCGGCATGGCCAAAAAATTTTAAAATATAAATAAATAAATAAATATATACATACTTTTTTTTTAAAAAAAAGAACTGGCTATGAGGTATAATAAAAATGAGGCTAATGGGTATAATGTCCAACTGTAATAATTTCTAACACAAATTTGATTTCTGAAGACGTGTCTTTAGCAAAAACTAGTATTTTAATAACTTTTATTAATGTCTGTATTTTGAGCTAGATACTGGGTTGGCCAAAAAGTTGATGTGGCTTTTCCCATAAGATGCTATGAAAAAACCCAAACAAACTTTTTGGCCAACCCAGTATTTCTTCTATTCTTTTGACTTTTTAATGCAGGTCACTCACTCGGGGATTTAGATGGAATTCCCGTTGCGGTAAAAGACAACTTTAGCACGGCCGGCATTGAGACAACATGTGCATCAAACATGCTGAAAGGTAAAGTTTAACTGACCAGAGCATTGTTTTATAAAAATAGGTATTTTTCAGTTTAAATTAAAGATAAGACACTAAAGCACAGAGATATTCTCAGACTGATTATATCTGCAAAGGAAATAACTTAGGGTAGAATATTACCTTTTTACTATTTGCTCTTTCATAATGCAAAATTATTCTTCAGGGGTAGGCCTGCTTAATGGATGAATCCTACTTAGGAAGACTTGATAACTGATCACAAACATGCTAAGTGACCTCTAACACCCACTCATTGGTAACACTATTTAAATAAGTGTAAAGTGGCTGTCATTCCCCCTCTTTTGCAAATGGTATGAGGATTTATTAGCATCTACTGTCTGTTTTTTGTTTGTTTTTTTTTTTTTTTTGGTACGCGGGCCCTCTCACTGTTGTGGCCTCTCCTGTTGCGGAGTGCAGGCTCCAGACGCGCAGGCTCAGCGGCCGTGGCTCACAGGCCCAGCTGCTCCACGGCATGTGGGATCTTCCCGGACCGGGGCACGAACCCGTGTCCCCTGCATCGGCAGGCAGACTCTCAACCACTGCGCCACCAGGGAAGCCCTGTCTGGTTATTTTTATCTCCTGACTCCTCCATCTATCACTATACTTAGTATAGTGAAGCTTAGTTTTATTTTTTAAAGTTTAGTAGGTCAAAAAGGAATCATATTTATCAAGATATTTGGATCCAAGGAGGAAACAGAAATGGAAAAAGCATATTTAGGGTACTATGCACTAAAACAGTCTATGAGGTGTATGCCCCAAGTTCCTCTGTTAGGTAGACTTGTTAATTGTCTGGGAATATACACTAGATGGAGGAAATTTTAATTGACAATGAAGATCTTTTCCTGCTGGAAATAGATAAAAATTACCATGGTATTGCACATCTGAGAAGAGAAAGTCAAGTACAATGAGCAAAATAATGATTTGTGATTAGTTTCAAATGACTTGGGTACATCTCATTCAATACTTTGTAGTACTAACTGTTAAAAGTCAATAGTTTTAGGGTGTAAAGACAGAATATATAGACTTTCTTTGGAAAACATATAGCAATTAGCAGTAGAAAAAATTAACTTTCACAAGAAAGTACAACCTACTACTTAAATTAGGAATAATTAACATGTCAATATGAATTGCTTAATTGCAGTTTAAAATTTTGTTTCTTGTATATGATTTACATGTTCCCTGTTTTCTTTCCTATGATAAAAATTACTGAATTTTTTTTTTTTTTCCCCCACAATGTATTTATTTATTTATTTATTTATGGCTGGGTTGGGGCTTCATTTCTGTGCATGGGCTTTCTCTAGTTGTGGCAAGTGGGGGTCACTCTTCATCGCGATGCGCAGGCCTCTCACTATCGCGGCCTCTGTTGTTGCGGAGCACAGGCTCCAGACGTGCAGGCTCAGTAATTGTGGCTCACGGGCCCAGTTGCTCCATGGCATGTGGGATCTTCCCAGACCAGGGCTCGAACCTGTGTCGTCTGCATTGGCAGGCAGATTCTCAACCACTGCGCCACCAGGGAAGCCCCAAAAATTACTGAATTTTTAAGAGGACAGGGGCAAGGTAGGGGAGGGGATTAAGAGGTACAAACTACTGTGTATAAAATAAGCTACGAGAATATATTATACAGCACAGGGAATTTTATAATAAAATTCCAACATTTATAGTAACTTTAAATGGAGTATAATCTATAAAATTTTTGAATTACTATGTTGTACACCTGTAATATAACATTGTAAATAAACTATACCTCAATTTTTTTAAAAAAAGAAGAAAATAACTGAATTTTTTTCAGGTTATGTACCACCTTATAATGCTACAGTAGTTCAGAAGTTGTTGGATCAGGGAGCTCTACTAATGGGAAAAACAAACTTAGATGAGTTTGCTATGGGGTAAGTAAAATTGAAATTTTCTCTTCTTGTATTTCTTTCATCTGTGTCTTTAACTTCATTAAGTGTAGGTACCTAAAAGTAGTGAGGTGATTTCTTGAGGACTCTAATGCCAGTTTCTCAGACCCTCCATGAGATTATGTTCTGCTAATAGGTCATATCTCATTTTAGTTTTAATTTGCATTTCCCTGATGACTAACGATGTTAAACACCATGTGTTTATTTTGCTACCCATATATCTTCAGTGAAGTATCTATTCAAATCTTTTGCCCTTTTTTAAAAGTTGGGTTATCTTCTTACCGAGTTATAATAGTTTTTTCCATATATTCTGGATTCAGGTCCATTATCAGATAGGTGATTTGAAAATATGTTCTCTGAATCTCTGGCTTGTCTTTGCATTCTCTGAACGTGGCTTTCAAAGAGTGAAAGTTTCTAATTTTGATGAAGTCCAGTTCATCATTTTCTTTAATGACTCATGTTTTTGTCTTTTCAAAGAAATTGTTACCTTTCCCAAGGTCATAAAGGATTTTATCCTGTTTTCTCCTAGAAGTTTTATAGTTTCAGTTCTTACATTTAAACTTGTGATCCAGTTGAGTTAATTTTTTTGTACATGATATGAAGAAAGCCAGAGTTCATTTTTTTTTACATATGTCTGTCCTATAGATCTGGGACTATTTGTATAAGAATTCAAATTAAATTACTTTGATTCCTTTGTCAAAAATCAGTGGAACAGGGGCTTCCCTGGTGGCGCAGTGGTTAAGAATCCGCCTGCCAATGCAGCGGTCCCGGGTTTGAGCCCTAGTCCTGGAAGATCCCACATGCCCCGGAGCAACTAAGCCTGTGCGCCACAACTACTGAGCCTGCGCTCTAGAGCGTGCAAGCCACAACTACTGAGCCTGCGAGCCACAACTACTGAAGCCCGTGTGCCTAGAGCCTGTGCTCCCCAACAAGAGAAGCCACCGGAATGAGAAGCCCGTGCACTGCAATGGAGAGTAGCTCCCACTTGCTGCAACTAGAGAAAGCCCGCACGCAGCAACAAAGACCCAAGGCAGCCAAAAATAAATTAATTAATTAATTTTTTAAAAAATCAGTTGAACACATGTATAGGTTCATTTCTGGATTCTGTTTTGATCTGTGTATCCAGTATCACGCTATCTTGATTATTGTAGCTTTATAGTAAGCCTTGAAATTAGGTAATAAGAGCTCTTCAACTTTGTTGTTCCTCTTCAAAATTATTTTACGTATGCTATATCCTTTGCGTCCATATAAGGTTTAGAATTGGCTTACTAATTTCTACAGAGAAGCTTGACAGGATTTTGATTGTGGTGGTATTGAGTTTATAGATCAAGTTGTAGAAAATTGACATCTTAATATGTGCCTTCTGACCTATGAATTCTGTATATCTTTCCATTTATTTAGAGTTTAATTTTTCTCAGCAATATTTTTATGATTTCTGTATATAAATCTTGCACGTTTGATCTATCTCCAAGTATTTCATGTTTTTTTGTTTGTTTGTTTTTTGCGGTACGCGGGCCTCTCACTGTTGTGGCCTCTCCCGTCGCGGAGCACAGGCTCCAGATACGCAGGCTCAGTGGCTATGGCTCACGGGCCTAGCCGCTCCGCGGCATGTGGGATCCTCCCGGACCAGGGCATGAACCCATGTCCCCTGCATCGGCAGGTGGACTCTCAATCACTGCGCCACCAGGGAAGCCCTGTTTCATGTTTTTTTAATGTTATAGAAAATGCTGTTTTCTTTTCAATTTCTAATTGTTTAACATTGTTCGTTTATAGAAATGTAATTGACTTTTTAATTTTATTTTTAAAAAAGTTTTTTGGCTTCCCCATGCGGCATGTGGGATCCTAGTTCCCCGACCAGGGGTGGATCCTAGTTGCCCCTTGCAGTGGAAGTGCGGAGTCCTAACCACTGGACCACCGGGGAATTTGCCTCTTAAAACTTCTGATTAACAGAGGAATTCCTTCAAAAGACTACTTGTTAACTGTTTGGATGTTTTGTGACACTCTTCAACTGGAAGACCTTAATTTACAAAGGAAATCATCCTAAGCTGAATTAGATGATCAATTGGGATAAAAATTTTCTTTTCTTAGCAGACTAGTATTTTCCTACTTTCCACCACAAATGCTCTTACTTCCCATCCTTCACCTCCTCAACTGTCTAATTAAAGAAAGGTACATCTAAGCAGGCTTCCTACGTTTTCTAATTCAAGTTATAGTGGATTATACAGTGTCAGAAGCAAATAATACAATCAGGAGATGAAAATTTTACATAAAATGAATTGTATTAAGATATCTTGCTTCACTTCTTCATCTCAGATCTGGAAGCACAGATGGCATATTTGGACCAGTTAAAAACCCCTGGAGTTATTCAAAACAATATAGAGAAAAGAGGAAGCAGAAGTCTCATGGTGAGAATGAGGATTCAAATTGGCTCATAACTGGAGGAAGCTCAGGAGGGAGCGCGGCGGCTGTGTCAGCGTTCACGTGCTTTGCGTAAGATGTTTTTTTCTATCTGTACTTTAAAAACCCAACCTAATACAAATAGTCATAAACCATACATAAAATTCAAAAATAGAGTCATTCATACCTTGGTATTTTTATTTCCCTCTACTGAGCTATTTGTGCTCAATGGTGTATCAAAATTATATCTTAAGTACACTCAACTTTATGGTACACTTATGTGTATTCTATACATTTAACTTCAATTTAAGACAACATTTAAACTCTTCCTCTACAGTATATGGTTCTCTTAAAAACATGATTTTACAGAATAAACCAGTTAGCTTAAATAGACTTCATTGAATTTCATTTTTAAATAATTTATTTGGGTATCTGCTCACTGATTGTATAGATATTTAGAGACTAACATATCTTGGCTTTAGTCGAGTGCTGCTGAACTAAATTGTTAGCTATGGTTTATCCTTCAGCTAAATCTGACTTAAGAAAAAAAAAAGGGAAGGAAAGAAAGAAGGGAGGAAGGGAGGGAGGAAGAAAATGTTCCTAATATGTATCAACAGAATATATTAAATAGTGTTTTTCTAAACCTACAACTAAAAATATATATAAGTACATAAATTTTTTTCAAATTTGTAGGGAGGTGATTTGTTCAACTGTCTTAGTTTGTATATGGAAAGAATCCATCAATCATGCTTTGTCTTAAGTCCCATTTGTAAAGCATTTCTTAACCATCTAAAGAAGAGTAAATAAATATTGCTGTTATTATATTCATTTTATTGGTCTCAATTTAACCAAATAGAATGTTTTCTTTAGCAGTACTATGTGTATTTTATCTCTCCTTAATTATCCACTGAAACTAAGCTTTCTGAGGCATTGCAATCAATAACTTATTTATATTTTTTAGAGCTATGGAGATTTAGATTCTACAGGTTTTTAAGTTTCCCTGAAATCTTGTTAACAAGTAAAAGCATTTCATTTTATCTCTGTGGAATTTTATAGCACCACATTAATATTAATGAGAGTTCTGACAAGCAAGGGTTGCAAGATTAGGGGCTTTTTTCTATCCTCGTCACCCCACTTACTGTTCATCTTTCTGAATGTGCTTTGAGAAGATGGCATTTTGACACATAATTCCTATGGAAATGTAGGTTTTACTTTTACCCAGACATCAGGGAATCCTAATAAGAAAATGTGTCCTTTTAGAAATTGTGAAAGCAGCAGTCTGATTTTATGGCTCAAGTGGACTTGGTAAGAAAGACGATCTAATTTGCATTTTCTGTAGAGCACAAGGGCCATGTGACACGTAGGAGCCTTGTTCAGTCCAAAGCTTCACTCTGAGTGTACTCAAGAGAGGCACAGACCCAAAGTAACTCCAGGTTGAATGGGTCCCAAACCATCAGGTGTTCTGATTTGTTTTCCCCCCTACTGATTTGTTTCTTTTATAATAGTTTTTAAAACAGGAAGATTCTAGGAGTATTGATACTATGCAACCACTAAAAAGAATGATTTAGAGTGCTATGTGGTGACATGGGAAGAAATCCAAAATACACTGTTAAGTGGAAAACAAGTTGCAGAACAGTATGTATAGTATGACCTTATTTCTGTTAAAAGTAATAATTATACATAACAAGTTACAGAACAGTATGTATAGTATGCCTTATTTCTGTTAAAAAATAATTACATATGTATATATGTTAGTTGCATGGAAGTGTCTGGATAAATATATATAAAAAGTGATAACAGGATTATTATGGGGGCAGGGATTATAAGAGAAATTTCACTTTACAGATCATATAGTTATAAAATATTTTAATTTTTACAGTAGACATTACACTTTTCTAATCAGAAAAACCTTTTTTCCTGAAATAGCTTAAATTTTTAATTGTGGTAAAATATACATAACAAAATTTCTCATCTTAACTGTTTTTAAGTGTACAATTCTGTAGTGTTAAGTACATCCACATTATCACACAGCCAGTCTCCAGAACTTGTTTCATTTGCAAAACTTAAACTCTATACCACTTAAACGATAGCCTCCAATTTGCCTTCCCCCCACCTCTCCAGCCCCTGGCCACCACTCTTTTACTTTCTGTCACTGTGAATTTGACCACTCTAGGGACCTCATATAAGTGAGTATTTGTGCAGTATAAGTGCAGTATTTGTGTTTTTGTGACTCACTTATTTCACTTAGCATAATGTCCTCAAGGTTTTTCTTTTAATAAGAAAAACATAGACTATATAGATAACTAAGCAAAAAAATGAACAGACACTTCATAGTTGGGTAATGCAAATACAAATAGATGTGAAAAATTATTCAAAAATGCACATTAGGGCTTCCCTGGTGGCGCAGTGCTTGAGAGTCCGCCTGCCGATGCAGGAGA